CGTTTTATTATTGAATGCGTGAGATACTCCGCTGTCCAAACAGCGGTGTAAAAGCCCAGAAATGCAATTATAACAAGGTGCGCTAGGTTTCAATCGATCAACAAAACAACGAGTTCCCCAGGATTTCACAGGATGGTCACTTTTCCAGAAAACCGTGAAATTTGCAATTCCGAAAAACAGCGCTGTCAAGCTGCAGCCACATTCAGAAAAATAGTTTTGTTAAACCAGTACTATATTAAACCAACAATTCCTTTCATGAGCAAAGTTATTTCAGCATCCAATCAGTGTAGCTCAGCTTACTCCTCGCTTACTACGAAAGTTCGAACTTTCAGGATGTCAAAAAGGCTTTTCTTATTGCATTCTTTCTGAGAGGTGGGAACACTAGAGAGCAGCTCAAAAAATCAGCAGATCGTGCTAACAGTAACCACTTGCTGACAAGGATGGCTATGGCTGTCTCTTCCAAGGATCGCTCAGAAACAAAGTGTGAGCGGATCGGACTCTCTGGCATAGCCAATATCGATTTGTCATACAGGAATTTGAAGTTCCGAACGCGGACTTGAACCCTCGGCCCTGAACAAAATAAACTAGGATACTGCTGTTAAAACTGTTAAATTCAATAAAAGGGAGCTAAAATAAAAAATATATTCTTGTTAAAAAGACAGAAAACAGAGTAATCTTAATAGCACGCACTCAGTTGTCATTTGAATGCGCACGGGAAGCAAGAAAAAACAATAAATTTTAGCTGCAGAGAAGCTTTGAGAAGATAACCAGTACAAGCAAACAGAAGTACAAAGACAAAAAACAAAATGGCTAATTTCTGCGCCATCATTAGGCCTAAACAACACAAACAGAACTTGGCATATCAAGCCCTTTTCTTCATTGGTTTCCTAGTGCACCAGCATAGCGATTTCTTCATGTTCACATCGAATTCGTAACTTCTTTTCTGCCAAAGCATCCAACAACTTCTCGTGCTCGCCGGCTTTCACGTCCTTGTAATCCATGATAAGCGCTTTGGACCAAGGGAAATCAGCATATGCCAGGTAGAATGCCTCAAAAAAAAGCATGGTATTATAATAACAAACAAATATGTCGATGAGACAAAAACGTTGACGTTGAACGGCGTACCCTTCCACTCAAAATTACTGTTTCTGAAAAATGCTATACGGCTGTGAAGCGGGACTGCTGACGAATGCAGAAGACAAAAATTGTGGGAAAAGCAAAGCAGCGAAGAATGTTTGATGGTATTTTTTAGTGAGAACGCGGGGCGACCGAACTACACACAACACGAGCAGAGTGCTTTATCATTGCCACTGCTAAAAAAACCGCTGCCCGCTCACCTGATTATCAGGTAGATACCGTAACGTGAGAATCAGAAGACAAAAAATTATGACATTTTCGAGCAGAGCTAAAAGTCGATATTGGTAGTCTGGCCATCTTAAAAAAAAGAAAATAAAAGCAACTCTTTTCAGCGTCATAAGTAAATTCCAACTTTCCCACAATTCTCTTTTTCTGGCAAATACGGCATAAGCAGGAAGGGTACTGCTGAACCCTTTACAAGCCAAAAAAATTTTTCTCAAGATGATGTTACTCACCGCTTCACCTAC